TCCGTGGAAGACGTGGGTATCAAGATGTCGACTGCTAGACCTTAACCCCAATAGGCCAGATGCAGTATCAGTAGCCCAACACTTAAGCTCTTTGTTCAGAGAAAGAAAACTATCACCTAGCACTATAAAGCTTCACAAATCTGTAATTGCAACTTTTGCAGACCCATGCCACAAGGATTCCATCACTAATAGCCCGGTAATTAGACAGATGATTAAGGCCATTGAACTGTCATTGCCCCCTGTTACAAAGAAGCAGATTTGGGATATTAAAACCATTATCACCTGGATGAGAAACGCTACAATAAAGGAAGACAGCGTATTTCAAGTCTCACGGCAATTAGCTCTAATATTACTACTAGCTTCAGGAAGGCGCATTCACGATCTCACGTTACTCAGGATAGATAGTGAAAGCATGTCCATTGACGACTCATCAGTCACTTTTTGGCCTGATTTTGGATCAAAAACTGATAACCACACACATCGTCAATCAGCTTGGAAATTGTCTAAAATACAGGATGAGAGGCTTAACCCTGTTCGGTGGACAAATTTGTATCTTACTGTTTCCAAAAAAAGACGAGAAACAGGTAATAAACAAATTAATTCCCTGTTTATAACATCCAGAGGCCGTGTGGCACCTGCATCTAAAGCAGTGATTGCTGGATGGTTGAAAACAGCCTTTTCAGAAGCAGATATCAATTTTTCACCTGGCAGTATTCGTTCCGCTGTTGCTTCTTCCAGAAAGGCAAATATGGTTCCATTGGATATAATTTTAAGTAACGGTAATTGGAAAAGTGATCGTAATGTGATTAGACATTACTTTAAGGAAATAATCAGTATTCCTACCAAAGATGATTCCATTGACTTAAGTTTAGTTAATGCTAGTTTTAGTTCTATCTAAGGTTCCTATTATTGTTCCTATTGAAGCTTTTGATTTATGTTTTGTTTCATTATGATTCTATAATTTAAATATAATCAGTTTCTTCGAAAATTATATTGTTTTAACTGAATTCATTACACAAGCATTTACTAATTTTCCCTGAATCCGTAATAAACTAACTTATCTAATTCACAGTACGCTTCCCCCCGCGTCGTCAGAACCCAAAAATATCTCACATGGTCAAGCCGACGGCACAGACCATGAAATAGCGAACGTTTTTCCCCCGAAGGGATAAAAACGATATATTTCATGTCTTGCCTAGGCTTGACCAGGTAATTACTTGACGACTGGATCTCAAGGTACTGACTACACCGCGCTCGCAGCATCGTTCGTAGAACGTCCCCCGCGCGGGGGTGGGAGCGCGGCTAGACGGCGCGGGAAGGGAATTGACACGTCTGTTCACGTGAAAATCGGAGGATGTAATCTCACATGGTCAAGCCTAGGCAAGACATGAAATATATCGTTTTTATCCCTTCGGGGAAAAAACGTTCGCTATTAAACAAATTTATAAGTATTTGACTAACTTAAAAGATTTAATAACTAAACAGATAGATAGTTTTAGTTGCATGTTGGCTTGGGAGTAAAAGATGAATTTAGAAAATGCTCGCCTCGTCTCAACATCGAGGTATAGTAAAAATCGAAAATTGTCCAGCCCTTTCAGACTACCTAGCGTTCAAAGCTTCAACAAAACGATTATATATTTATTTGTCGGCGCATCGATTTTACCACGATTGTTCGATATTGATTCCTGAAAACGAGAGTGAATTATTATTCACTCTGGCGAAACGTTAGACGGTCGGCCATTATGTCGTGATTGTTTGATTAGAGACGATATAGGTCGGACGTCATCGACGGGGAGCGTGATCATCGATACTTTTGGATTTGTTGGGGTGGTAACACTGACTTTGACAGTTCGTTGACAAAAGCGGGTTGCCGCCATTTTGGTACACATTCTGTTTCCGATCACCGAGGAGTAAAGACATCCGACGACATCACGCTCATCTCCATATATTTTCGTATGAAAAGTGATAAAATGGAATAATTGGTATACACGCCTGCAGTGTTATTTTGAAGATAGTCCCCCGATAAGGACGATCTATTTGGACTTCGTAATAACCTCTTCTGTCTACCCGCCGTCATATTTATTTATTTACTCTTTATTGCATTAAATACAAATGGCGTACTTAATGCCAAGGGCATTCTCTACCAGTCAACCTGAGCGAATGTTGGATTTGCATGTTAGGCGATAAAGATCAATATATCTAGTAAAACTTACAAAATTCAATAATATAAATATTGAATAATTACATAAATACTTATTACACATACATAAAAATAGATAACATACAGAATGCGAACGATACAATTACAGTCCGAGTTAGTGCTCACGCACCAATTACCTGAATATCACCTTACTCTGAGCATTTCTAATGCGAAACGGAAGAGCATTCCAAAGGCGAATAGCAGTGAGGGTAAAAGAATTAGAAATAAATGAAGTATGATGAAAGGGGGTTTGAAGAATAAGGTTGCTACTAGAGCGAAGATTACGCTCATGACCGGAACCAAGATAATGAAATCTAGATTTCAAATATCCTGGGGTACATGGATCGAATAAAATATTATAAAGAATACACAGAATTCGAAGGTTTCTTCGTTGTAGGATAGTCAGCCAACCGAGTTGCCTCCTGAAATCAGATTTCTATCAATAGCTGACTGCTGGCGTGAACTGCCAATAAAAAATACTTTGGCACTTAGATCTATTAACGGTCACACCGTAGCAGTTGGACTACTTTAAAATAGTAATGAGATCCTGATTTAGGCTCAAAATAGCATCATTGATGTTGCTTTTATCTGCTTGAGCATATATTTGAAGATCGTCTGCATAGAGATGATGAAATGAGCGAAGACGAGAAGTAAGAGAATTAATAAATAATGTGCACAGAAGTGCAGATAATATGCCGCCCTGTGGAACGCCGGCATATAAGTCACGCCAATCAGAAGTGCTATGATTGGTCCGGAAAGCCTACTAGCGCCCCCGAAGATATGATGAAAACCATGTCTGAGCTGAGGAAGAAAGACCGGTTTGCGAAAGGATAACAAGAAGGATATGTCTACCAATGTCATCACTACCCACAGCGTTGGATTTGATGGACCAAATCACCTTACGGACAGTTTCCTCAGACAAAGGGTTGAAAAAAAAATGTCCAGAACTAGAGGGTGCCGTGGACGTTATAGAAGAAACGATGGATTCAATAATGGAATAAGAAGTCAGGGTTACAGATGAGAAATGTTTGTTTAGTTCTTCCAACGAGCATGAAGAACTACACCGTTTTTCCTAAGCCCAACGAACGAAGAAACTTCCATACATCGGCAATATTAGAATTTAAAATGTTGTTATGAATATATTGGCGTTTAGCTACTCTTACCATCCCATTGCAGCGTTTTCTAGCAGTTTTAAAAGCGTTCCAATAGAAGTCAGTACGACATCTTTTAAAAACATGAAACAACTTGTTACGCCTTCTCATGGCCATACGTACACCACGAGTGATCCATGGCGCAGGTGGCCATCTCAGTTTGACGTACTTTTTAGGCGAGTGTTTATCAAAGATCTGTAACACACAATCATTAAATTGACCTACCATAGTATCAATACAAGTGGCTTCCCTAATAGGCGTCCAATCAACCGATATGGGCGTCGAATTACCGATATCCAGCCTTGTGAAATTGCGCATCTGTACTAAGAGGGGCTTGGGTTTAGGAAGTTTTCCTTTATAAGCCAAAAATATGAGATCGTGCCTAGAGAAGCCAGGCGGAGGCAATTCACCGAGTATAGAGACAAGACAAGAGAATATGATCGATCCTTGAGTCCGAGGTGGTGAGATTATGATGAGTGGGGTCAAGAGGAAGAGTTGTAAGGTTCACCAACTCGCCTAAGCATCGTAACTTGCGAGAAGAAGCTGAGTCTCATAAAGGTCAGTATTAAAGTCTCCCATGATAATGTGATGAGTAGTCAGTAGCAACTGAACTGAGAAGTGAGTCTAAATCATTAACAGGACAACCTTGACACGCATAACGTCGACTTCAAGGAAAAGATACTACATATATCCAGAAACAGGGAGGAGGAACAACCTTAGAGTTTGTAGGAAAGAGAACTTGACAAAGGATATATATATTTTAAATTATCTTGAAAATAAAATGCTCTGCACTGCTGCTTCTGTGATCCACTTTTTTTCTAATGTTATAATGAATGGAATATAGTATTATATATGACTGCTGTGAGGTCGTTAATAGACTGGTGACGACTTGTATAAGAGAATAATAGCACGTAAAAAGCACAAACTATAACAACTTGCCTTAATAGAAATAGTTATAGCATGTAACTTAACAGTACATAATTTATTTTATGATCATATCCAAAATATTCCGTTTCCATGCTTTAAAAGAATTATTTTTTAAATGATAATTGAAAATTGCTTTTGTGACATAAATGAATTTGTGAGATTTTGCCGTGATGGACGTACGAAAAAAATTCTTATCAAATTAAATTTTTTATTATTACATTATTTTCTGTTTGGATAATATTGACTGTAGTAGTATTGTCCTTTACTGTAATAATATAGACATGGCAATAAAAATACATTGACACATTAATAATATATAGTTAAGTATGACATTGATGAATCTGTTAATTGTGAAGGTACACAGGTAATGAATTATGTATTATTGACAATATTTTTTATTTAAAGTGTTGTTGTTATTGTAATGACGTTAAAATTACATTATATCATTAGGCTTCTATTAGAAAATTAAAACAATTATCCAAAATGTACTTACTTATTAAGTAGAAAATTAAGTACTTACCCATGACGATACAATATTTTGATATATATCAATAAAACATGCGAAAAATATGTTTAGATAAAAACTAAAATTGTTCCATGTAAATATTCAAATAAATAATATTTCATTAATCAATGGCTTTATCGCCACTTACCATCAGGTGGGTTCGTAGTCAAGCGTTAACCTATAAAGTATAAAAAATAAAAAAAAATGTAAATGTCACCTTGAGGAACCCGTGTCCGCCGCACGCCTCGCGGCACTGCTGCGCGGCCTCCAGCACAGTCCAGGTGAGCGCGGGCTTACTGCACGACACCATCGCGTGGATCTCACCCACCGCCTCGCTCTAAGGTCACGAAAAATAACTATTATTCCGCTTCCACGAAATTCATATGACCTTATTTAATGATTATGTTATTAAATGATTATGTTATCATTATAAGACCATAGTTTTTTTTTTCTATCTCTGTTTATAATGTATTGATCTGGTAATGACATGGTTTTTGTAAATGTCATTACTCTTATTAGAGCTGGTGAGTTTCTTGCTCGTTCTTCTTATCAGCCAAAAGACGTCCTCAACGAGTGGTAGGGAAAAAAATGTTGGACGATTCGAAAGTACTTTTAAGAAGTCTATTTGAATAAAGATTATTTTGACTTTTTTTTTTTGACTTACGCCTTTAAGTTGTTAAATAAATAAAGAATTAATAATGTAAAATGCCTAAAAAATACACTTTGTCCCTGGCACTCTGAGATGGGACTCGAACACATGACCTTGCGCAATCAGAGCGACTGCTCTAACCACCGAATTTTCCAAGCACTTGTTACTTTTTCGCTACTACAGAGCGTATTTTCGTCAATGTTCAGGCAATCCACACAGACAGCCGAAAGCAATATTTAATTTTTCATTAAGAATATTTTTCTGTATAGCATTGTGAATGCAAGATTAATCAAATATAATAAACAAAGGATTATTATATTTGAATTAACCATTTTATCACAGGCAGTGGCGTAACTAAACCGTTTGAGGCCAGTAACAAATTCATCAGATATTCAAATTTTTTCATCATCATCATCACCAGCCCTTTTACGTCCCCACTGCAGGGGCTCAGGCCTTCCTTATGAATGGTTAAGGAGGATGGGCCATGACCTTCTACGCTGGCCCAATGCGGATTGGAGGGTATTAACGACTGCAAATGCAGCCGGGACCAACGTCTTAACGTGCCTTCCGAAGCACGAAGGAGCACGAGATAATAATTTTTTGGTATCCCATCCCGTGACCGACCCTTACGAAAGTTGCTTAACAACGATCGCGGGCCGCGGCGCTTATCCCATACGCCACCGCGCTACTTATATTTTTTACTAATTGCGTAATAATAAATGTCAGGAGCAAGGAGTCTCCTCTGACCGGGGGCCCCTTCCAGCTGGGGGCCCTTGGCATTTTGCCGACTTGCCACCCGGTAGTTACGCCACTGTTCACAGGATACTAGGGATTTTAAGCATTTTTGTTTTAGGAAACGAAGAATTATTTACATTGGTCCAGTCTGTAAAAAAATATGCGTGATCAAATATAAAAAAATAGTTAAAAGCCGTGGAAAATTTGGTTTAATATGCTTTACTTTAATCTAGATAAATAATGTATTATTTTACTATTTTATCTATAAATAGAACATGCATAAAACTGTCTATACTAATGTAATAAAGAGGAAAATTTTTATTGCTTGTTGAATCCGGGTCTGGATTTTTATAGAATCGCAGGGCTGGATCGATTTTAAAAATTCTTTCACCTTTTACCTTTCACATAATTGATACTTTTAATAATAACATAGTAATAATTTTGTGAGGTAATAATTTTGCGAGGTAATAATTTTATAAGAAATAGAATCCACTAAAATGAGCACCACTACTTGTCGATTGAATTACGAGCTGTACCTATTTTTTTATTATACCTTGACCAAACGTTAAACCAATGACCGAGCAATGAAAATAATCAATTAGACATCCGCCTGGACGTCCGCTCAGACGGCTCATGGGCCCCGTTGCAGATCTCTCACACGTAAGTGTGACTTGTACGAATTAACATGACACCTGAGAGCGTATTCTATTTATCCTCGAACGAAAATTTGGGAAGTTCCGAATCGTTCATATGATTTTGTTAAAATCATATCTTTGAATATTAGCTGTGCATCAGAGACAGTGTCAACTTCTACCTCCGTTGTATTATCAATTATCTAAAAATAGTAACGTAACGTATTAGCATTTCGAAAATAGAAGAAATTTCGTTTTCATAGAAATAGTATAGGCCTTCATGTGTCTTGTTGATTCGTACGGATAGTAAATCTTTTACTTCGAGTCGACCAAGCTATTTAATTTACAAACATCTATATTATTTTTATCAGGCAATTTCCAAAACCCACCAAATTGTCTACTCGTTGTCCTGAATTCGACTTCTCCACGATTTTCAGGTATACATTGGTGAAGCTCTCGATGTACAAGCGGAACACAACTGCTGCTGCCACGTAACCGAATAGCCTCCATTGCTGTAGACAAACGGGACTAAAGTCAATGTTGTAACTATTATATTTGGCAACTTTTGTACTAATTGATGTTATAGAAAAACATTGTTTTTTTTTATTAAAATCGGCACAAGCTGCTAACTAATTGAATATGGAGAATAGAATACAATATTAACAGAATATAAAAAAAAAATACAGAAGTATAAACGAAATAAATAACCAAAAAAAAATGAGTGTTTAAACTGAATAAATGAATTGATTTCTTTTTATTTTCACAGGTTGAGAAACCCTTGCCTAGGCTGTTACGGAAAGATACAACTGATTTGTCTCACTGATGTAACTGCATAGAAGGCTTAATTTCGAAGCGCGGCAAATGTCGACCAATCAGAACGATTCAAACGCCTGAACCCCGCTGGGTGTATCTGAGACACCTAACGCGTTGTATTTTACAACTTAAAGATATTGAAATAGGACTCATTATAAATTTCAATGGTACACTTGGGTCACATTAATTGGAACTGTTTAAAAAACTTGTGAAACGCGATACATTTTAAGCCGGTTATTGATTCATACATTTCAAATTAATGAGGAAGTATTAAAAAATAAAAACAAAGCACCAAAAATGCACCTCTACTAGATGGCGACTCTAGCAAAAGTTGATTTTTGCAGGAAATGAATGGACCAATGTTAGTCATTTCCGTTCCTTTTAACTAACATATTAAAAAACTGAAATTTGCAAAGTCCGAAACTTAGATATTAATACAAATACGAAATAGTACAAATATAATATGAGTTGTTTATTGAGTTTTGAAAACTAATTTACTTTTATACATGAAAGAAAAAAGAAAACCGGAAAGGTTGTCATGGAGAAATCAAGAAAGTTCCGTAGTGACATCTAGTTTGATTACGGGAACTATTTTTTTTTTTTAAATACTTCCTCATTGATAATTAAACACATTTTATTACGCAAAGGAGGATAATGTGTTTATCAGTCTATGTATGTATGTTTGTTTCTATGTGGCGTTCTAGAGACCAAATGCGTAGGCCGATTTTGATGATTCTTACGTCAATCGATTCGTCTTAACCTTGCGAGTGTCACTAAAGACATGACAGTAATCAAAATTCACCACAGCGACAACCAGACGCCATATTGTCAAAATTAAAAAAAAATCGATGTACCATGTCAAGTGGGGTGTTGGTGAATAGGTATTTTAAAATCATCTTTAGGTTCCTTTTATCATTGTTCAGTTTAAATAATAGTTTAGGATATATAAAAGTTGTTTATCTTTAAATCGTTATATTCATGTATTTTTTTTAATTCGTTTTGACGCAGTCGGGTTTTTTGTTTTTCTTTAATCAATTTATTTTTTTACATTTAAGATATAATTATTATTAAACTCACTAATAATGTAAGTTTTAAATAATTAATTGAATTAATTTGGCACGATTGGGAAGTTAGACGAATTTTATTTTAGAACGTAAAACTATATAATATAACAAATTGTACACGTGCCTATGAAGTTCTAAATTTAAGTTATTTATTAAAATGTAATTTGAATTCGCTACACCCTTCCAGGGTTTCACATGAACTGTACCTAACAACAACAACCACACACTATGCGACATGCAATAAATGAATTACTATTATTAACTATGGCTTTAGTTATTTGTGATCAGGGTGTGTGACACTGTCGTACTATACGATCCGTTTGGGCCCCGTGGAGCTTTACTAAATGTGCAACTGACATGCAGTTCGTACTCGATCAGCGGTATCTCGCGGTTGCGTTCGCCGAACTGCCGCCGCGACGCCGCGTACCGGACCGCGATCGTCACAGCGCTGGCTATGGAGTGGCAGCTCTCTTGCATTATACCTACGCGACCTAAATGAAAACAAAAAACAATTTATAACCTATACCAACAATAGTAGTTCGGTGGCGTAGTGGATAAGCGCCGTGGCCCAAAATCATTGTTGTTAAGCAACTACTGCAATGGGCGGTCGCGGGATGGGTGACCAAAAAAAAATTAAAATATATATATGCGATCTCCTTCGTGCTTCAAAGGAGCACGTTAAGCCATTGGTCCCGACTGCATTTGAACATTTGAAGTCCACATTGGGCCAGCGTGGGTGGTCATGGCCCATCCTCTTTAAACGTCCATAAGAAGGGCTGAGTCCCTGCAGTGGGGACGTAAAAGGGCTAACGTTCTATGATGCTATAAACAAAGTTTTGCAAAAATATCTGAAAATATAACTAAGTGTAATTACATCGTAATTTCTCATCATGGAGAAACTTTTTAAATTTTTAAAAAATAAAGTAATTATTTGTTTTTTATGTTAAAATCTCGCCTGCAAGTCTTTAACCTTATCAAAGGTTATATCTTTAAAATAATAGCGTTTTGTAAAAAAAATAATGCGTATTTTTAGTACCTAACGTCATATATATTATAAAACATGCAATTTTTCCTAAACATGTAAACTAATGACGCAAATTCTAATGTGAGATCTGATAACACGTAACGTCTCTGAGTATTCTTAGTTCGTATAACGGATGGTAACAATTTACAGGGGTAAAACGTACCCAAAGGGTAAAACGGGAACGCCATTACTAAGATTTCACTGTTTGTCTCTCTGTCTGTCACCAGGCTCTATCTCATGAAACGTGAACGTTAGACAGTTAAACTGTTCACAGATTATGGTTTTCTGTTGCCGCTTTAACAAGAAATACTAAAAACCAGAACAAAATAAATATATAAAGCTCCCATTCAACAAACGTGTTTTTTTTTTTTCTTGTTTATTTCTCGATATTGATATCGACCATAGGCAGACTCTTGAAATATTAACAGAATATGCATTTATATAGTAACTTAAAAAATAAATAATTGAATTAAAATTAAACAAATATTTAAGGTGGCTCACATACAACAACCGTACTATATTATTATAATAATATTCTATATTTTCGGCCTTCGTACTATTTACTGACGGAGAAATTTTTTAAACCCAAAAATACTATATTTTTAACACCAATTTTAACACATTGAAAAATATCCCTACATGAGACCTTGGTTATTAAACGAAGCTCTCCCTTTGAATTGTCTTGACAATGACATTGATCTGAGATAGTACTGATGATGAAAATAGAAGGTGGCCATGGGAACTTTGCAATTAAATAACGCAACCCTGTCGAATTAAGGCTCCTTTGATTTGATATCGATTTAAACTATAATACTTATTGTATGTTTGATTAATTAATTAAATAATAATGACATGTCATCGTAAAATTTTATATTGTATTTAGAGCAAAACCAAAAACAGGAAAATTTACACGAAATATTATTAACTGCAACTCGGTTTCCTAGAAACAGTAACCAGTGTGGGTTAATCAATTTGACGTTACAATCTTAATTTGTTAGAAATTAATTTTAATATCAGTTGTGATTTTTTTGACAGCATCGTACCCGCAGATAAGTTCTCCAGTGCTGCGCCTAATATTCTAGAAGGATCGGAGAAGGAGCTCTCGTAGACACCATCCTCGGTGACGTCAGCGGTCCTGTTCAAGAGGTTCTCGCGCGGTATCCGGTAATGGTTGAACATTATAAACCTGTTAAATTAAAATAGCAGGTTAATTAATACTGTCATGGATATGTATAAATGGCAGGTTCAAAAACAATTGCCGATAACAAGTCATCCTTTTTTAAAAATGGCAAGTAATCAAACCATAGCACCCAGCATTTACTTGGCAGTGAGGCAAAAGATTTATTTAGGGTCGGGCAAAAATAATTAAACTCGAAAAATAATGGAAATTTAAAACACTTTTAATGATACCATTATTTTAATAATAAGATATAGTATCTTAAAAAAGTTGTTATTTTTAATATGTCATCAATTTTATTGGGGTTGAGAGTGGCACCGTAGGTATATCCATGAATAAAACTATGTTATCGGTTCGTTAGAAACCATTCGGCTAACAACATCAACAAAACTCTGACAACACCATTAGATGATTTTATACTTCCAATAATTCAATATCATTCATTCAGTATTCACTGTTATAAGCACTTATAAAAGTCGGATGCAATGCCATCTGTTAGCAAATCTACGATGTGAGAATAAGTGCTGAGAATAACCGGCAATGCCACAGTTTGTTTTCCTTGCTTTATTTATACAGATAACTTCAATCAAAAAATTACTTCGGTTTAAGTCGGTAATGTAAACGTACTAAACTAGTTATTCAAAGTGTCCACCATTAGCTTTTAAACGGGCGAGTCATTCGTCGATGGATTTACGAACGGTTTTGCATTGGAAACTTGGTCACTGCTGCCTCCAAAGATTTCTTGAGCGACTCAATTATTGGGTGACGCTTAGAGCAGGCCATGACCTCTAGCACAGACCACAATTTATAGTCCAAAGGGTTTAAATCCGGACTAGCCGAAGGCCAATCATCAACCTTTATGAAGTCTGGAATATTTTGCTCAAGCCAAATTTGGGTAGTGCACGCCTTATGACCCGAGCCTGAATCCTTTTAGAACTTCCACACTTCTTTTTTGAATAAGGTGTTATTGAGGTTTAACTACTGCTTCTAACACAGTATCTTAATACATTTTGTCTGAAGTTTTCACTCATTTTTCTCAACAATGGAGTTTTATAAGGCCTTTGTAGGAGACACCCCACCAAACCATGACATATGTGCTGGATTATGGCCTCGCCGAACTTAGGCCACTATTTTGGAAGCTTCTTTAGAGCTGTGTGCATACACTCGATCATTTTGTAAGCCCCTAGACCTAAGTCTTGTTTGATAATCCGAGAAAGAGAGATACTCTGGAAAAGTTTTTCTGATTCCTTATGGGATTTCGACGAAGTCTGCCCTGTGACTGCATTAACGGCCTGATTTGTTCGCATAGACCGCGGTCGGCCGAATCTCTCACGGTCATCAACAGACACGTTTTCAGTGTACCTTTGGATGGTACGATACACAAACATTCGGCTAATCCCTAGATTTGTCAATGTATCAAAAATGTCGGCTGACTCCTTGCCTCCTTTGTACAGTACAATTAGTGCAATTCTATTCTCTTTAGTGCCCCACTCCGTTTTCAAAACAGACGATTTCTAAACAAAAAACGTACAATAATGGCTGGAAAGAAGTCTATTTTTTATCGTAGAAGATAATGTTCGAAGTTCAAATTAAAGTTTTTTTTAATGTATGTTAATAGCCAGTAACAAATTTTATGGCTAGACTAGTTATATAGATTGAGATGAAATTTATTGAACATAAACAGTACAATGTTTATGCAAAAAGTAAAATACTATCGCTTAATAAGGCCTACTTTTTTGACCTTTTGGTTGCTAAAAAGCCAGCTGGATGTCCCAATTATAGTTCCACACGGATCGATAAGTAAGGATATAAAAATGTAAACGCTTTATAACGCAACCATACTTGTACAGTATGGCACACACCGACAAGTGTAAGGACAAGAAATATTATGTAAACGTTCAATATAACTGACCTTTTATATGCCTTTTTTATAATTTGTATCCCAATTGTTTTATATACCTCATTAGCCAAACTTTTATACCAAGCGAGATGATACCTATTATACCTAGAAATAAATTAATGCTTACACATTATAAAATAAAACGTCATTCTTCAAGCTCATTAGTCATTTTAATACAAATTTATAACTTACAATCACAAATCCTAGTGGAATCCTGCTTTCTATTATTGTTGTACCCGACATGGTCTATTGTGGGATTAAATAAACTATGTAACATTATTATATCTTTATTACCTATGCTTACAATAAAAATATTGAGTATAAAACTGCAATTTGATTTATGTTATCATCATAAATGTTAACAATTTTATAAACGCATTATTAACCCAACGAGACCATAGATAAGTACTTTCCGGCTTAAAGTAATTTACTGAATATCTTTATTACACACTATTTTCTTCTGGGAAATACTATCGGACAGTGAAATAGTATATATTTATAATTTAATTTTATTACTCGTCCTTGATAAAGAAATATAAACCGAATGAGTCACAAGATAAGGATTATCAGGTTTTATGTAATCAAATCATAACACTGTCACTGTCATTACTTTTCCAGGGAATGTTGACAGAAGATCTTATGTTAAATATTAGATAAATAAAACAAATCCTTAAAAGATTCTACGACTTATATTTGTCTTACCTGATATATAAAATAGTAGCCATTTTATAATAGGGGTGATGCATGAGTAAAAAAAAATGAAATTCTTTTAGTCCATCAGTCAGATAACAGAAAAATGTTAGATACTTATTGTTTCACAAGTTAACCCAATGTATCGCCGTAATTTAGTAATTACGTAAAAAAAATACGTGTTTAATGTTTTTCAACAATCTACCTGACGGACAAACGAACAAAAATTAGCCGTCATCCCAATTGTTTTTGACAGTAAATATTTAAAAAAATCGCTCCTCGCATTTTCTGTAATTGACGCAATTTTTATTGGAATCAGAATCACCTTAACAAAACCTCTCAGAACCTATCACCGTTCTAGAAAAAATAAAATCTAGATTGGGTAAAAAAATACTATTTTTTGCGTCACTCAGGTAATAGAATAATATAAGATACTTTTTTTTCTTTTTAATTAAACAAGAAATTTAGTAGATAATAGGCATTAAAATTGAGGAGTGGGGGCTCGCTACTTCACAGTTTGTAGAAAATGTACAAAAGCGCAACGTCATACGACGTTTTAACTAAATATATCGCCGTAATTTATTGATTACGTAAAAAAAAACTTATTTAATATTCTTCAATAATCTACCTAACGGACAAATAAACAAAAATTAGTAGTCAACCCTATTGTAACTAGACTGACATATGCTAAAAATTATTATATATATCATTATCGACAGCCCTAACTTTGTTATATTAGTCACATGATAAAAGTATACCACTCGGGCGATTTCTTGCCGCTATCAGTGACCTTCGGAATCGATTACTCATTGATTACGTAACGGATTTGCATTTCGCACTGATGGATAAGTTTCATTTACAAAACTTATCGATATGAACTTTCATACTTAATTAATTATTATAATTATTACTAATAATTTGTATTTATTAAATCATAAATCGTAGCTTGTGAATGAGAAAAAGCCCATGTTTTTTATTTTCATTAGATAACGTCCTTTTAAACACACCAGTCCGGCAGATTAACATAACATATTATTTGAGATATCTTCCACAAAAATTAACTTCTGTATCCATTGGAGACTTTTTTCTCTACTTTTGAGATTAGATAGAGATGCAACTGAGAGATTGTTCTACATTTCCTAATAATATTATAAATGTGAAAGTTTGTGAGGATATGTGTTTGTAATTCTTTCAAAATTTTTATGGAATTGGAATATGGAATTTTTATGGAATCTTAACCAGAATTAACGTAAAGGCTACTTTTTTATCTAACTAAACCATTACCTAGGGATTATAAATTTATTCCCAAGTCATAGTATAAGCACGCAGGTGCCGCTGCCAGAAAGCTAGTAAATATATAAGGTTGCAATATAGCAACGAATAAAATTATTAAAATAAAAATATACTAGGCTGGGAAAAAATACAGCAAACTGGCGAGACAACCAGACTTTTTACTAAAATAAACTTAGATAATACCGCTCGAAGGACCACATCGTAATAAACGAACGTACCCATTGTCAATACCGTGGACGCCGATCTTCTCGCCCATGTCCCCAATAATAAGTCCAGGGTACACCTCCAGAGTAGCTGGATCCCTCACCGGCACCAGGAAACCATGCAGCCCGTGATTAGTGCCATCAGGAGTTATCAGCTGTGCAAACAGTAGAGAGTGCGTGCAGGTTTTTCCTGTGAGAAAAATAAGCATTTAGTGTTTCTGGAAAATAATTAGAATCTGTAAGGTTACATAATTTATCGGCAATTACAATTAAAATTAAAATGCAATCATGCTCTCCTACCCACCACTCCCCACTCTGTAGCAGGACGTTGTTATCCTAAACTTGTCTTCCATTCCAGTTCTGGCTATTTCTCCTCTTGTACTTTTTTTTTATCTTTATTCATACTTGAATAAAGATAAAAAAAAAGTACAGAGCCTACTGGCTATTACAAGCACTTTTGAATCGTCCAAAAAATAACTTAATATAAATACTTCGGTTCTGCTTACATTTTCTTTTATAAATCCATCACCATTCCCTCATTTTGCAGCTAGGTTTGCTGCCTACTCTGATTATCCTTACTTTTTATTGTTTTTTGGGGTAACTAAATACTCTTTCTTTATTTATACATTACATTTGTCAGGGTTTGGAGTGATAATTATCATTAAAAATTATACTGATAAATATACCTTGATAATTATAAAACACTATCAGTGCTATTAATAAACAAGGTTTAACATCAGAGTAAAATTACGCTAAAATTGCAATTTTTGGTATTAGTCCGGATTCATATTATAGATAATCGTATTAGGTTAGCCTTTACTACGTCTCTGTTTAATAATATGAATTTTGAATAATACTAAGTGCAGTCTCGGCGTAAATTTACTCCAAGGCTATTTATTACTTGTTTATTAATAACACTGTATGTGTACTCTTTTAGTAATTTGGGACTTGTTATTAAAGGGGAATCATCTTAAAACAACTATCAAATGTGGTTTTCCTGATAGAGAAAATAGGGATGATGACTAATTTTTGTTTGTTTGTCCATCAGGTAGAGTGTTAAAAAATATTAAACACGTATTTTTTTATTTTTTTGGTAATCATAAAATTACGGCGTTACATTGAGTTGAAATTTCGCATGACGTCACGTTTTCTACTCAACTGTGACGTAGCGAGCCCCCACTCCTCAACTTTAACGCCTGTTATCTAAGCTATTTCTTGTTAAATTGAAGTAAAAAAAAAATACGTATCTAATATTTTTCTATTATCTTACTGACGGACTAAATAGAATTTCATTTTTTTTACCCAGTCATCATCCCTATTGATTAGGATGGAGCTACAAAAGCAAAACAGAATTATTAAAAATTTATACAATTATGAATGCCTTTTTGTATTTTAAAAATTGTTGCAAGTAACTACTGATAATTAGAAGATATTATTATGATAATTATAAAAAATGGTTGTATTAAGATGGAACATTTCAGTTTCATTCCTATTGTCTGTCAATAGATGACTCTAATTTGATGATTTTATTTTTTGGTTATGAAAATGTTTTAGCTTATCCACCGAATTATGAAAGCAGTAATACTTTTCATTTTGAAATGACACATTTTGGGTTTCTAACGCAATATTACTTTGCTTATCTATCCTATGGTGGTCTAAAATAATGAAACGTAACATCTTAAGTGGTATCCCACTACGGTGGACTTAATTTGCAGCACAAGTTATTTAGCCAATTATTATTAAGCCCATAGTTATAAAACAATAGCAAATTCATACGCCTTCTGCAACGAACACGTTATTCTCATTGCTACGTGGGCAACATATTTGAGCATTATAATGTTTAGGAATGACGTCACCGGACACATTTTATTGCTTACACGTGTTATGACGTGATCGTGTACTGCATTTGACGTTATGTTAAAAACGTCACAGATTAGTACTCGTATATATTCGTAATTATTCAATCGATATTTTAAATCTAATTCAATAAATTACATATTTTGATTTTTTTTATGAAAATATTGTATATCAGTTTTCTGCCGGCAAGTACCGCGCAGCGTGAAATTAGATTTTTCCGCGATAAAAAATTGTTTGTCCTGTCTAAAGAAATACTATATGAGAAATTTAGGCTTGAAAACATACTGAGTGGCATTTTTTTTTTCGCATTCGTTAGGTTAGTATGGGTTTGAACTTTATAAATGTATTCATGTGAAAATAATGGAATAGGTATACTCCATATTGATAACAAGTGACTGACGGATAGATTTCCTCCAGTTTACAGTCAACAGAGAAGCTGGTAAAAACTTTAAAATACCTCTTATTGATTTAAACCATAAGTCTTCACCATTCCCAATCGTAAATCAATTGGGCTAACCACTTTACCACAAAAATTGTTTATAGGTATAATCGATTACTACTTTTACATAATTGGTTGATTTATTAATAAATTTATTAAGATTATTCCATTTTGTTGTATTAATAGCTCAAGGTTGCATTAAAAAAAATCTCAAGATTGGTCGGTATTGGTTCATTTCAATTTGACTTGGACTCCTTGTTGGTTAATATTAATAGTTACCAAACCTATGCAATTAGTCCAACTGATTACGGCCCTCTTGTATCTCCGCTTACGCTCCCATACAAAAACGCATTGAAAGTAAATACGCGCTCGCTTGATATACATTATACATTTGTATGATTATACATTTTCCATAACAGAAAAGAAAATAGCTTTTGTATATTTTAGATGATATCAAAACCTATTGTAATATTTTCATTTAGTTAAGATGAAATATATTAGTAATAAAATCGATCCAAAAGATCTATTTAGTCATAACATTTTTTGTTTTTTTTTTTATTATTTTTAGTCATGCGTTTTTATTCTATTGAGCCAATGATTGAAATTTATATATTTATATAAAACCTTATTTTGTTAGAAGTAGTAAGATTGCTATGTGACGTTTTCTGGTAACAGGATGAGAAGCAACGTTTCCAAAAATCTCTCTTACAATTACTGCATTACACTATCAATTATTTATTTTTGATATTAAAGTAATATATGGAAGCAAGAAATTACTTATATAATAATCATAATTTTTTTTTAATATAACACTGGCAAGTATATTCAAACGCGTTATCAATTGCGTAATTGTTGCTGGAGAGGGATCAAGTTATAGAATTTGATGTTGCTATGCGATAAGCGGTTTTTATTACATTTACTTATATTATTTACATAAAGTAATAATATAAACTGGCCAAGAGCGTTTCGGACTGGAACTTCCGATAGAAATATTAAATTATAAGTTTTCCCATAATGTAAAGATGTACAACTATATAATCATCATCATCATCATCATCAGCCCTTTTACGTCCCCACTGCAGGGGCTCAGGCCTTCCTTATAGATGGTTAAGGAGGATAGGCCATGACCCTCCACGCTGGCCCAATGCGGATTGGAGGGTAACTATATAAGTGTATTTAGAAATCAGCGTATCTACCGTATAAATCAAGCCCTAATTGATCTGTTAAAATTTAATGATCTGTCACGCTGCCAGATCTCTACATATATAAATTAATCAGAAATGGCCTACGATTAGCATCTGGCAGATCAATCAGTTCTAGATTTTAACAGATTTATCAGGGCATCCGCTATCATTATAGGAGGGGATATATTTTTGTATAATTTATTAAACATCTACTTCAGTTTAAAAAAAAACATCTATTTGAGATTCCCACAACAAGCCTTTCATTTGATGCCTAATTATTGAAATTTATTCATTTATATTTTTACAATATATGTGTTAAATTTTAACTGTGAACATAGCAACAGATTCGGAACATATCAGTTGTGATGTGACGCACGGGCAGCCGGACACTTAAATGGGCCCTAAATAAGTTTCACTCAAAATCGTCACTAAGAAAGCAAATAAAATTATTTATTAAACTGGTTAAGGTATAAAAGCATCGGAACTAATTATTAACTATAATTTAAAATTATCATTAAAATGTGCTTACGAGAAACCATGTGTAGTCCACACAATAGAATCAAATTACTACACTGAAATTAAAAAAAAGGCCATGAGCGAGTCGGACTCGCGCCTTGACGGTTCCGTACCAATTTTAAATATCTATAATATATAAAGCTCAATTTTATTATATTATTCATAAAAAAATATCATGCAAAATAAATAAATTATGTTTTCAAATACATCAAGCCAATTCATATGACACATAACTTGAACTAGCAGGTTCCATTTTAAACATGGAGCTACTATAAGACTTTATATTTTCAAGTTTTTCCTTCAAGTTGTACTATAAAATGATGCTATTGGCAAATTTCATAGCACTAGGTCAATTTGAAATATCTTATCAAATTTGATTCCCTTGAGAATGTCGACACGTGCAAATTTTGCTAGCACAGACAACAGCAGGTTAGATAATACATAGACGTAAAATTTCTATATGTGATTTTAACCCTTATTACATTGAAAGTAGAGTTCAAAATCAATTGCCAAAATTTGACATATAATGTGCCGTCGAGTGTGCATTTGATGTATTCATAACATATTGGGTATACAATCTTAATATTGAATTGTTAGAAATCATTTAATTATCCTCCTTTTTTAGTTTTTCTACACAATAATGTGGTTAATAAATAGCAAATGCAAGATGGCATTAAGTCCGCCATATAACATTTAAATATTAAAAAAATGGAACAGACTTCAAATTTAAAAAAGTGAAAAGCAATACTTTAATATTTAATTAACTACAGAAAACTCAGCCCAACTTCAATGGTTCTTAAATAAATTAACTGCTTTTAAGACAAGTATTATTTTCACTTTTTTAAATTTGAAGTAGGTTCCATTTTTTTAAAGTTTTTATTTCATACATTTTAGTGATATTTTGAATTTTGGGGTAACAAATATCACGCATACTTAACGCAAATTTAAGACTTATATGGTTTTCTCATAGATGCCATTGGCAAGCGCCATACGGCAAGCACTAGCTTCCAAATAAAGAAAGAGTCATCAAAATCGGTCCACCCAGTAAAAAGTTATGAGGTACCGAACAGAAAAAAAGGGTCGAATTAAGAACTTCCTCTTTTTTTAGTCGTTTAAAAAACAGCAGACTTCGCATATACGAGTACATAAATTTAAAAAAATTCCACACGAAATTTTACCTAGATTACCAACCCAGCATTTAGCTGCCTCGAAGTCCGGTGTATGTATGACAAACTGCTTTGTTGCGGGGTCATATGTTGCGGTGGTGCGCATGAGTTTTGCATCTGAACCGTGCGCAATCTCCGTCAAAGCGATGCTAGCTAAGATCTGTGCAGAAAATGTAAATATATTTAAACAACATTTTAAAAATTATAAGTGCAAGAGCTTCCGCAAGCTTGATATTTCAGTATGTTGAAGTGGTAAGGGCATCACTATATCACTCAGTGCGGAAGTCAAGCGCTGAGACACCTAGCGCGAAACAAACTTCTAGCGATTGCTGAATATGTTTTTTCTATTAAACGAATCTTGGGTATTTATACTTTATGAACTAACGAGTTATAACTAATAATTTAGTTAAAATTCAACTATTACGAAACCCTTTTCGGAACTTATTTTCACACCAATTTCTGAGATTGGGGAATCTGAGAAGTTTAGTCTCATTTATATTAAGGATAAGATTTTCGCTGATTTTAAACTATTAAAAGCACCTTTAACATATTAATTCAATTTATCGTATTTAATATTGTCTCGCCGCCCCCAGGAGTACCAGCTCCTGACCACCATATTGTACAAACTCCTGACCACCATATAACAATCCTTTGAGTCTGATGAAGCTTTATGCGCCTTATTTTTATTGAAAGTAGGGTTACTTTCACAAGCGACAGCAGCTCTTAGCTTCTCTTAAATGGATTAATTAGACTTGATGTGTCAAGAATATTTTTATCACCGTAGACACCTCCAGGTTCTATTCTCAGATGTGTTAATATTTTGGTAGAAAATATTACTAACCAAGAAACAACACCAAGTAAGCAATAAGTTATTTACTGATTGTGAATGAAAATTCTTAGTAATTGAACGCTGCGGTATGCGTAAACACGCCTCATGAACGCAATTGTTGTTTTAACTCTAAAATAATATGATGAAACGCCAACCTCTCTATTCAATATAGTAGCCTCGTAAAATTTCAAATGCCTTACAGTGCCGAGCGAGAGTAACGCATTCGATACGAGATATATGCCAATGGCCATTTTCACAGACACACTGGGATTCAAAGAATTTACAGCCTCATTTATAGTCATCAATGCTCTCGTCTGCAAATAAAATATTAAATTATGAGTATTCAAATCTAGGTGGATGGTCAAAGAATGTGTGATAATCAACATTGCAAGTAAATAATTATAATGATGCAAAATGCATGGTAAAACATATCAATAATTTTAGCATAACAATTTATAAAAAAGTCATTGTTAATCATTGTCTGATTTGTCAAAGATGTAAAAAAACGGACAGACCAATCATTTTATAACTTCTAGATATCTCTATTAACAAAACAAAATTATAAAGTCTAGAATTGGACAGACCAATACTGATTGATCTGCCAGTAATTCAGTGGCAGTCTCATCGTGACAGATAATTCAGACTTAATTTTGATATATCAGGGCTTCAGTTACACGGTATGTATATGCAGTTGTGTTATTATGTCTCAGTTAGTGTGAATGTAATTTATTTAAATGTTAAAACTAAAACATAAACTCATCAAAAAGCTCATTAGAAATAAATAAAAACAAAAGTCTTAAAAAAGTTTAAAATCCATTGGGGAAATTTCGCCTTTTCTAGTATGGCATGATGTCTCTCTTTACACTAATATCACCATTCACTGTATACATACCTTTTTTGAATAATTAGATCTGAAAGTTTCATTTGTAAGGAATTTGTACTGATTTATTCGTTTTAGTTGCAATTGTGTTATCCGTTTCTCTTCATCTGTGGTCAGCATCACATGACTATGAGCAAACAGTGGGTCGTTTTCCAGTGTTTGCCATATTTTGTACTAAAACAAATAGTAAAAAATATTTTGAAAAAAAAAATACGCACACATAATTGAAATTTACAATATGAAATACACAAATGGATACTTTTTGTTAATTAGGATTAATAAGCGAATAAATTCAATGTTGAATTGATATACGAACATCAATATATTACCTATACCTATATCGGAAGCAAACATAAGGTCGGAAAATATATAATATTATGTAACAAACTTGAATATTTAAAGAAAATTGTTTATTTTTATACCAATACACATGTGACCTCTGATTCAGATGGTCAAATTTTTTATAAAAATTAATTCTATAGCATTAAAGAATTTTATTGCGAATTTCAAACACAATATTTTACAAGGACAATATGACATCATGACTATGTCGCTAATTCGCTGAGGTTATGAAAACTACGAAACAACATAAAGTATAAAAGTAATATAGATTGACGAAGTTTATGAAGACTATAAGCCAAAATTAATTCAGATCTGTTTTAAGCGAAAATAAAACTATATCGATATTGACGTATCTGGAGACACGGTTCAGGATGGACCTAGCCTCCAGTTAGATCACAGAACTCGGAAAAGAGGTTAGATGCTATGCCGGGCAGGGGGATAGGATTGTGGCTAAAAGCAATTTGTCTAATAGTTCATAGGGGTACCGATCATAAAAAGTTTAAGAACCACAGTACTGAATCCTGAAAATAATTATATGAAATTTTACTTATCATTATTTTACACTTAGGGCGTGTGTTGTCGTTGGTTTATTGCCGGGTCTATAGACGGCCATATATCATACGCGAGTCAACCCTAGCAGTCAGTCCGGTTCAATGACGTATGTTAATGGAACTTTATTAGGGTATAGTGACCGAACCAGAACGGAGCACGACGCGGCAGCATACGTCGCTTAGCAACGCTGGATATGCTTTCCCGCAGATTAACATCGGCTCGTTTTGATTTTTCTTTTTATCATATTTAATATTTTCTCAAGAAATGTGTTTTTATTGGAAAATATTTTTCGTTTTTCGGATAACAATACAACATTTGTCTCTACCAGAACACGTAATGCACCAAACTCATGTCTTTTGGGTAAAATCGGATCAATTCAATATTTCCGCCTTGATAATTTATTATCTTTTCGTAGTTTTTTTTTTTATATACCATGCGTGGTTACGGTGCCCCGCGTATTTATCCCCCATTGTTTTCTTCTGATGGTTTGACCCACAGAACAGTGTTCTGGGGTTTGACCCATAACACGAGATTCTCTTCGACTTGAATTGTAAAGAGTTTTATTAATTAATTACTCGCAAATTATTACGATTTCTGCATAAGTACTGCACAATGACCTTGACTATAGTGACTAATATATAAATTTATATTTCCATGTATGTAAAAGGGCGTGGTGTTGTGGCGGTCGGTCCTCTCTGCCTTCCCCGCAAGGGAAACAGCGTGAAGATATAGGTTAGATACAAAATCTATATATATACCTATATAAAAGATGTCCTGACATACTGACTGACTGTCAACGCGCAGCCTAAACCGCATGTCGTAGCATTTTGAAATTTGGAGTGTCCATTCGCATTATTGCGTAGAGGTGTACTAAGAAAGGATTTTTGGAAATCCCACCGTTAAAAAGGGTGAAAACGTTTGTTTTTGAACATCTATCGATGAAAATTTTTATTTGAGTAGTTTTATAATAAAAAAATCATTTCAAATTAAAACTCATGAAATTATTAAAGTACAAATCGGTTTATATACGAAAAAAAAATCATTTTTTTAATATATACTAGATGGCGTTTATTCTGAACTTTGGATTTGTGATTTGTTTCCATCAGTATTTCAAATTTCATAAATACAACGTGTCCCAAAATTCAACGATAAGCGGGCGCCAAGAGGTACCCTTGCTCATGTGTACTTATGGAAAAATAAGAAAAAAATTATATCTAATCTTTTTTATTATAAAATTAAATTCGAAAATCTTCGAAAATTTACACCTTTTATGATATTTTCAACTACCACGACCACAACTTCTCAATTATGTTCAATCTTTTTTTGGTATCGGATACCTAAGTAGCACTACTATTCGCTACAACTCTTTCAAAAATTTTCGAATATTATTTTATAATAAAAAAGATTAATAAGATATAATTTTTTTCTTATTTTTCCATAAGTACACATGAGCAGGTCGCCCGCTTATCGTTGAATTTTGGGACACGTTGTATATTTGATTTTTTCAAAGAGAAACACATTGGTAATGCTTCTGTCACATAAATAAATAAGTATAGTTTATTGATTTGGTCGTTGATGTTGCAGTCTTCGAAGATGAACATCAAAGTAATTTTATTATTATATCGCGGATATTTTGCTATTAATAAAATTGATAATTGTTTCGTATCGCGATCCTTAACAGTTAGTTAACCAGTTGGTGACGACATCATCACCAGCCTATGAAGGTCCCCACTGGCCCAGGACTTCCCTGTGGATGGAATCGAATCAAACCGAATAGGAAGAATGGGCCATGACCCACCAAGCGGGCGCAGTGCAAATGAGGAAGTTTTTAAAAAAAAACGAAAGCACTAAAAAGCACCTCCACTAGATGACGGCTCCAGCAAAAGTTGATTTTGCAGGTTATATTCTGATAAAAAGGGTATATTTGGAAGTTAATAAGACTTATTAATTATAATGATTATGAGAACGCGAGGTACGCTTGAAGACCGAATGCGAACTGATTTTGTGCAATAATGTAAATATAATTGAGGTCGACTTAAAACTGATGATTCTAGGGAAAATGCAATTTACGTCGCTTTCTCGTACATATTCCCGGGCGCGAGAAATAGGGATTAGTAATTCTGATGAAAATGATAATGAAACTAACCTAAATACCACACACAGACCAGAAACAAAAGTCATTTCCGTTCCTTTTAACTAACATATTAAAACACTGAAACTTGAAAAGTTCGAAACTTAGATATCAATACAAATACGAAAAATTACAAATAGAATATGAGTTGTTTATTGAGTTTTGAAAACTAATTTACTTTTAAACTTGAAAAAAAAACCGGAAAAGTTGTCATGGAGAAATCAAGAACGTACCGTAGCGACATCTAGTTTGATTTCGGGAACTAATGTTTTTTTTCTAAACACTTCCTCATTGGTGGGTGTTAACTACTGCAGATGCATCCGGGAGCAACAGCTAAACGTACCTTCCGAAGCACGGAGGAGCAGGGGTAATAAAGTTTTGGTCACCCGTCCTATGGCCGACTATTATTGCATAACAACCGTATCGCGGACCGAGCGCACTAACCACTGTGTGCTATCGAGTTCCTTACGACATATTCATATATTAACCTATTATTTTTAATTGCTTCACTCACACATCTCTCGCCTCCATCTCCTCAATTTAAACTTGAATAAAGCCAGTCATGTGTTTAAAAGTCAACCAAGCAATTGTAATATAAATTATTTTTAGATAGTCCATTTTTTCGGTAAACGTCTGGTGATCTCTTAATAAATTGTGTAATAAGAGACAAGAGGAATCGTTTAATGATTCCATATTAAATATTATACATCCGAAAGTAGGTCTGTATATATGTCTGCGCTGGCGTAACTATACCGTTTGAGGCCCGTGGCAAATTCATCGGATATTAAATTTTTTTTTTACTTGTTGCGTAATAAATAATGTCAGGAGTAAGGAGTCTCTTCTGACAGGGGGCCCCTTCCAGCTGGGGGCCCGTGGCATTTTGCCGACTTGCCACCCTGTAGTTACGCCACTGTATGTATGTTACGCTCTCATGCCTAAGCCACGAAACAGAGTTGACTTGAAGACAAATAAAGTAGATTTTATTGTGATAAAAGGGTTCACATAGGGTATTAAAGTTTGTATTCGTTCGTTCGTCATTGTCAAAGATAAAATCATGAAACTTTTTATTCAGGTATTTTACATAAATATATAAATATTTGATTTAGCGTTTTTAGAAATGCTGCTTAAAATAACTATACCACGCGGATGAAATCGCGGGCAAAAGTTGATCGTAGGCAAAAGCTGACTTTGTACAAAACCAGTTTAAAATACCTATGTGATCCTTGAATATTAATTAGCAAATGCATAACCAACGAAAGAATACCGTGAATTTTTATGATACGTCTGTCGTGACGCGAGTAGGCACGTTCCGATTTAGTGTGATGGATCTTTACATTGCTCGTCGTAACACAGTACATCGTCATTTCGTGCTTATATGTAAGAGCCCTAACAAACATCGACGTCGACGACCGGGTAGTAATACAGAACAGAACGACTCATACTCGGGGCCCTTGGGCAGATTTGAATGGTAAACTTTGAATGGGCCCCGACTGTGAGTCGTTCTGTTCTGTATTACTTAACAGAATTCTAAACTACTGGGCTTGTTTCTTTCTTTTTAGTTTTTATTGAAGTTAATTTTTTAAAATTAGTTTTTACGCAGTCGGGTTTTTGTTTTTCTTTAAATTATTTATTTTATATTTTTTAGTTATGATTTGTTGACTCGTTATATGATGGTAAATTTCGCAATCTAGTAATTTCATTGAGGGAGTTAATATAGTGGGGATTATTAAGTAACTTGCGGTGGTCTAAACTACTGATGATTAGTCCCTCTAGAGACCTAGCTCGGCTCAAAGCTACATATGCTTTATTTTTTTACCAAAAATATTTGTTCTTCATGCTTTTTCACTGTTTTTTTTTGTTTGTAAATCATTTATACTTTATAAAAACTTAAATCAATAAGTAAGAAAATTAGCGAGAATGTTTTGTTAAACAACTTTAAATCGTTATATATCCTAAACTATTATTTAAAATGAAAAATGATAAAAAAACCTAAAGATGATTTTAAAATACCTATTCAATGACACCGCACTTGACATAGTTCATAAACTTTTTTTTTCATTTTGACAATATGGCGTCTGGTTATCGCTGTGGTGAATTTTGATTACTGTCATGTCTTTAGTGACAAGGTTAAGACGAATCGATTGACGTAAGAATCATCAAAATCAGCCTACGCATTTGGTCTGTAGAACGCCACATAGAAACAAACATACATACATACATATATGCATACATACATAGACTGATAAACACATTACCCTCCTTTGCGTTGCGCAGTTGGGTAAAAAATAAGTCTAATATATTATTCTTTTCAAAATATTTAATAGAATTCAGTATGCTATTATTTAGAACCAATTAAAAAGATTGTACAAATTAAGTTAAAATTAATGGATTTGCAGGTTAACTCAAATATTTGAAATATCTGCCCAGTAACAACATCAAGCCTCAGGTTTGATTCCCATTCAGGTCAATATATATATATTGTATATTATCTCAGGTCTAGGTGTTTCCAATTCGGCTGTCCCAGTTCAAAACCTAGTAACTGTTTTGAACTAAATTTTACAGGAAAGCAAAAAAACTCTTTTTAGGGTAGCTCTTTTAAACTATTTAACACCTGTTGAGAAATTATTATTTACAAGAAGGAGTAGTATGAAACTGTTAATTTGATATATAAATTATTTGTCTAAGTTTCATTCTACAAATTTTATGAGCTAAAATATTTTTAACAATAAAACGTCCAAGTAAAAATTTACTTCCAAAACCATTTCAAACCTAGTAGTTCTCTTACTAGATTTTGATCTGGTTTAACATATTATCTAAAAATCAGCTTATCCAGATCAAAAGCTAGTAAATTCAAATTTATACAGTCATTTACACATGTATTTGTGTTTCATTCATTTGTTTTTTTTTCTTCTATTTGTCCTATTTACATCACCTAGTATTAAAAATGTAACGTAGCAGTTAACATTATTAACGAAGCATTATTTAACTGGCACAATAATGAAGGGTTTTTAAATCGAATCATTTAAAAACCCTTCATTATTGTCACCTGACTATGAGTTGTGAATATCAACTCATAATGTTAATTAAGAGATTGCTCATAATAACTCGGTTCTATATTTCTCACAGTGTAATTTATAAATGCATATTTGTTCTGTTTTATTGAATAAATAAAATAAATTTAAGTCTTCTTTAGAATGAATTTTTAATTTCCGCTAATATAGCTCCCAATAATTAATGTTATTTGAAGTTATAGTGGTTTTAAGTTAAATACTCAAAGTGGGCATAAGTTATACGACATAAGTTTGGGAACCTCTGATCTAGTCAATGGTTCCAGTACTAATTTAACTTTTTCTTGATGTTCTTTTTGTTTAGTCGAAATATCTCCTGGCACTTCGGTACCTTTATGTGTATTTCTCTTAATTTCTTCTTCATAAAATGAACAATCCGCGCACTTATTGCCTTTTGGCATATTAAATGAAATATGAAGTCTTAATTGTTTGTTGATAAACTTCGAAACTACAGAGAAAAACTTTACCTTTACTACTACTATAATCTTAGTTAGCAAAACTTAGTAACTCAATATTTCAATGTCTTATGAGAACCACAAAATATTGTTTCTATGCATTTATTCACTTCATAACCCAGTAACTAGATTTGACCATTTCAAAAACCTAGTATGTGCTAACACATACTAGAGTTTTGAAATAGTTAAAAATTCATACTAGGTTTTATAATGGTTAAAACTTAACTTTTCATAAATTTAGAAGCACTTACTAGGTTTAGGGTACCCTATAACTTTTGATAGAAGTGAATTTTGATATAGGGCATTTTGGCATTTTGTGGGGACTTATTGGAAAACCACTTCTAACAAAAAACACAATTTCTAGTTTTTGTAGACTTACTAGGTTTTGAAATGGGACAGCCGAATTTCCATAATACTACTTAATTTTTGTGCAATGTAACATACATTACTCTAATACAATTTTTTTAAATTGTTATATTATAAAATAAATACTTCATAAAACAAAACTGGTCACTATGGTTCATGTGTCTGTGAATAACTCATGTCTGTTTTAAAAATTCAATTTAATACAATAATTTACCTTAAGTTTTAACAAGTCAATGTCTCCCTCCAAAGACAACTTCAAACGTTTCCAATTAAACGAGGCGCTGTTTCTATATTCATCAAGGGGCCCACTCGGGATATCCGGGATGAAACTCAAGTCTTCCATTCTTCCAAAATACTTTTTAATTCAACTTAAAATCTTCAATGTATTTACTACTGTACGCGCAATTTTATTGCTGATTATGACTAAACGCTGAACTCTATCTATATGGGACACATTTGAAAATCCCAGCTCGTCTTTTTTGTGAATATACCACGAACCGTGAAGTACAAATCTAGGCAGCAGTGGTATCTAACCGCGTCTCACCTTGGCAACGCAAAAAATCTATTATTAATTAAGGTTAGCCAGCTTTTTTCCGTTTTATGTTATACCGGGACTAAACAATGTCTCAATGAGAAAACAAACGTCCGATATCCTCCAGCGGCGACACACACTACATTTGAAATTGAATATCTAATCATATCACACCACTATTCAACCACACGTCACACATTGCGAAATTTGCTTGTTGTCAAAAAATAGTGAAGTTTGTAATGTTAAATATATCAATAATTATCGAGTAAGGGTCATCGGAAATCGACTTCACCAAAATGAGCAACTTGTGTTTGTTTTATTTAGCAAAATCTATTATATATTTTAGTTTAGACAAAAACAGGTACTATCATAACTAAGTTGCCTCTAAATTATAATACCCCTCTGTTGAGTAGTATCAGTAGATGTCATAGCTTTTGTTTTCTCTTTGATCTGGTTTTTCTCCGATATCTTATAAAAAACATAACCGTCACTTTTTGTTTCACAAATTAAGGTTATTATAAAGTAATAATCATAATAATTTGCGTCTGTTATAACGTTATTCGTAATCAAATAAAATCACAAAAATATGTAGTTATTCCCAGGTTTGCTATAGCTAATAAGTTTGCTTCTATTATCTTAGAGTTAATAACTTTTTGCTGTGTAGTGATAGGAATCTTTAATTAATTTTTATTTTTAGTATTACAATTGTGTCACGTTTTATAGAAAACAAACCAGTAATTTTACAAGTGCTCGGATATATATTGAGAAGCAACGGTCATTATGTCTATTTCTTTTCATTTTTTCCTTAAAGAGAAAAAACTACAGTAACTCTTTGCTTTAGTATAAAGTTGATACTAGATATTTAAGTGACATTTTACTGATTTAAATTGTAAGTGGTGGTTTAGTTTGTACAATACAATTATTAAATATATCGATATCAATATTAGCATGCACAACCCTAATATCAAAGCAAATTGTCAAACTGGGCGTAGTCTACGATCGGATACACAATAATTTGTGTTTGGATATCAAAATCCTTAGCAATTTTCCGGCAAAGCATTAAACTAGGGAAAGTATAAAAAATATTGAAACTAGAATATTGTCATTTTAAAAATGTCGCATACAAGTTAAAATAATAATTATTGCATGTGATAGTACTTCCAGTTGCGATTGAAATTTTTGTTTTCAAATTAAAAAGACATATATTATTATTATTTTACATTTAGTTTCTTGTCTTTCTATACAAAACGCATGAAGAATCAAAATGTAAAATTATAGTCATTTCTAAAAATACGCGATAGATGGCTACATTGCCATCTATCGCGTATTTTCTAAACGACGATGTTAAAAATGTGAATGCTTCTTCGTATACTAACTTTAGCGTACATAATTATTCTACTGCTTTTTTAATAGGTGTCGCTACGAGTCTAAATATAATTAATGAAACGTACGAAAGAGATATAACTATAGTATTAAGGCCTTACTAGAGCGAGACAGAAATAATATACCACACTACAATGTTTACCACTACACATGCGAGTTGTCAGACACAACAAGAAAAGAGAAGTTGTAAAACAACAACTGTGTTCGGCTGTTTGGTCGCTCGCGGCTCGGCTCTGCTTTTCTATCAGACGTAAAATGGACGGGCGGTCGTGTTGCTGTGCGCTCGCGAACTCCGCGTGATCGTTTTAAAATCGATGTTTTTACAGTTTATATTTACGTGAATACGAATATTGTTTATGCTTTATTGTTCGACTACCTCGGTGTTCGGTTGCCGTGGTAGATTGTGTTTAGTGCATGTGTTTTTCATATGACGTTAGCGCTCACTTCTCTTGCAGTGATTTCGCTGATAGCTCCATACCGGTAGGTGCGCGTGATAAACTACGTGTACGGGTCTATAAAAAGCGAATAATCGTTAAGTGTGAGTGATTTACAGTACCACCATGCTGTATACGGTGACATAGTGAACGTTGAATTGACCCTGACCTCTGACAATCATGTCTGGGCGATCGGATTGCAGGAAATTCGCACCAAACATCTTCAACAAGAGCAAGTGCACCAACTGCTTTCGGCAGAAGGAGGAGCACAGTGCCGAAGCATTGGAATCCAATAGGGTAAGTCGAAAGATTTCTAATTTTGAAAATCAAACTGCACATCTCGCTATCGATGTGTAGGTGTGCTGGATCACAAAAATATGTGTGAGTGTGTGCGTGGGCTGACTATACTTCAGGTGTTATGTTGATCTAACGGATTTTATCGAGTTATTAAAATTGTATTGAACTCCGGTATGTAGGTAGGTACGATGTTCTGATATAACATAATAGCTTCAGGACCATTTAATGTACATTGGTTAGATGTTTAACTAACATTACGCTAGTTTCGTTATCAACTACCTAGGTTACCTTGACTTTAAAATAGCTGCTAATAATCACAGACTATCGCCATTGAGTAGCTACGTGTGTACAAAACTTTATTATCACTCAACCCCTAATATGTCGACCTACCCTCATTTTTCGAGCGATTTTGAATTAGAGTATTATAACATACTGTAACGGTGTGCCATGCCACCGTTTGTTTTCCTAGGTTTCAGTATGCAAACTTTTTACTTTTGAAATTTAACATCATTTCATTTTATTATTCGTCTTTCGTAATTTAAAATTTTGACTAATCAATTATACTCTTTATGGAAACAGTTCGTAAGAAATTCTCCTATGCACAAGATGAAATTATAATACAATACAATATTAATGGTATAAATTTTACTATGTAATTTTAAAATAATTCATTTATTGTGATAAATAATGTGATATGGTGATACAAATTATATAACATATGTAACTACTAAATTGTAATCTGTATTTTGGAAGATCCAAAAGTTAACTAGAAGCCCGACAAGGGGTATGTATTCGTTTATTTGATAAGTATGTATTAGTTAAGTAACTTACGAACTGTTTTTATAAATTTATTTTTGTTTGTTACAGTTTTTCTTATTACCTTTATTTAACTAATAAATATATACTCAAGCTAAGCAGCCTTATTAATTGACCCAAGCACCGAACCCGTAACAATACAATAAATAATTGCTAAAGACGTATTAAAAATGATTGACAATGTCCTGGGTATTGATTAGATAGTAAATACTATTGTAAAAATACCAACCTCTTAGATATTAGTTTTGAATCAAATGCAAAATTCATTAGGAAGGATTAAATAACCTACAGGTACCACAGGTAGTATGTTCACAGCTTCATAGATATATATTGCATGCCCCTGGTTAGTTTTGCGATAGGTAAAAATTTGGTAAATGAAAAAAGAAATCGTTATCCACCTATTAAAACGTACTAGTCGCATATTATTTATGGCAATATCCTTTTATCATCACTAAAGTGATTAGCTGCGATGATATGAATTTTTCAGACGATTAGGTTGTAAATGGTGATTTTAGTTCTAGAACAATCTGTGATAATAATTAATAAAGATAAGATTACAATACTCACCTATTTGTCAGTACATTAATAATTCATTTCATAAGAAATTCAAATTAAAATATCTGAAAAATATTCTTAATGAAAAGTGCATAAAATATTGCAAATGGTCATAGGTCAGAGTCACATCTCAGAATGCCCAGGACGAAGTGGATTTTGAAGAATATTTTATAGCATTGTGAATGCATAAATGATCAAATACAATAATGATAACATCTGATAAAAGATAAGAAAAATAAATACGAATTACAAAATCATTAAAATATCAAATCAATAGCCATGTGGACCTGTCATGACATTATTTTTATTTAATTTACAACAAAAATACAATTAATGACTCAAACACTTGGTCCTTCGAACTGGATTCGGAACGCGACTATGATTATTACGCGTACTACACAGAAATCATTAAGTATTTACTACGTTAAGGGGCTACTAAACGGGTAACATTATTCGGCAATTAGAGGCTACGCTATCGGCAACTTATTGGCCGGCCATCTCAGATATGTTTAACAATATCGGGCAGAAGAAAAATGTTTGGTTATATGGCCGGTATATAACAGCAATATTGCACAATCTGGCTGGAATTTTTGCAATGTTGTCGCTGTGTTGCAGCTACTAATTGCTGAGAAATATTGCCAATGTACCTCCTTTATGCACGCAAGCACAATATCGGTACTAGTATGCATTATTTTAACATTATCTTTCTTTCTTTCTTATTAGCTCGGTGGCGGAGTGGCCCGCGATCGTTGTTAAGCAATTTCGCAAGGGTCGGTCAAGGGATTGGTGAACTAATAATTATTATGCTGAGCCTTTCCGTGCTTCGGAAGACATTTTAAGCTGTTGATCCCGGCTGTATTTGTGGTCGTTTCCTCCCTCCCTCCACCCTCCAATCCGCATTCTACCAGCTTGAATGGTCATGGCTGATCCTCTTTAAACCATTAACTGGTATCAACATTATCATTAGCCAGCCAATTCTAGCCATCATCTATTATGACTGATCTCATAGAACTTTGAGAGAAAATAGTCTATTTTATCTTGTAATAAATAATCTAAATTTTCCCGGTGAAAGGATCATTAAAAATTGTCTTTATTAATTACATACAGTTTTATCTTTCTAGTATGATGATTTTACAATACATGTAAATCAAGTCCCCTAACTAGACGGAAGATAATTACTCGTACCAAGGTATCGGAACATAACTACCGTTTCACTATAAAGGTGTCCGTATCGTCCATTTCACTACGACTGTCATAAACGTCCAAAGAGTTTATAAGTATAAACCGTATGGGCAGCAAACGTTGCAACTTATCAAAGCCTTAATCAGCGTAATCAACCCGTTTTTTAATGCATTCAGCATCGTAGTACCAGGTTATCTCGAACATCTCTACTCTGTTATGAGGAAATTATCGCTGAAGGCGCCATTATAATATTCTATTTATAGTGTTTTTACATTACATTGCATCAGTGTTGCGGTGTTCCTGGGCCTCGTTGAGTTGAGAATGCCTATTCCAGAAATGCAGATGTTAATGTATACCTACGTAATAAAATAGATTATCTAGTTTTATGCGTCATTTTATTAATTTTTCACATTTTAATGATAATATCTACACGGAGAAAAGCCTTGTAAACACTAATTACTGTAAGTAATATACTTCTTGTGTCGTTCCCATTTAATGAATATATAACTAAGTAACTGGCATTTTACGTATAG